TGGAGGCGGTATGGACAAGGTTCTTCCCGCTGTCCGTGCAATTTCGCGAGCTGGTTGCCAAGGGCGAGATTGGGGAGGTTTTGAGGGTTATTGCCGATACGAGCTGTGGGAGCACAGACCCGGAGGGGGAGTGGGGGACGGCGCATCGGATGGTTAATATGGATTTGGCCGGCGGGGTTTTGCTGGATGGTAAGTCTACATTATTTAAAATATTCTTTTATTCTCCTTTATTCTCCAGTCCCCGTCCCCTTGATATCCTGTCTTTGGCAACTAGTCAAGTTGAAAATTTCTTTTTAATAAAACCCACCCTGGATGCAGTGGGCGTCTACTCCCTAACATGGGTCTTCCAAACCCTCTACCACACCCGGCCCCTCGGCCACCGCAAACCACCCTCCTCCATCAGCTCCCAGATGATCCACTACCCCGCGACAGGCGCCGATGAATGCAGCACCATCCTGCTCGAATTCCCGCAATCGACGCCCGCCGGCACGCATAAAGCTCAGGGTGTCGCGATGACAAACTTCCGCCTTCTCTCTAATCTGGACGGGAAATGGACTGCGGGGCCCACGGTGCGCATCCAGGGCACACGGGGCGAGATTCAGGTCTTCGGGTACCCATTTCATCCGGATAGTTTTAAGGTGATTCCCCTTACGGGTCTTGGGGAAGCTGGTGACGCACGAGAGGTTAGGGAGGTCGTGGGTGAGTTTCCGGGGGAAGGAAAAGGTATGTATTGGGAGGCTGATGAGGCGGCGAGGTGTGTGAGAGATGGGAAGTTGGAGAGTGAAACGATGTCGTGGGAGGAAAGCTTGGTGATCATGGATGTCATGGATGAGGCGAGGAGGCAGGGTGGGTTGAAGTATCCGGATGAGATTGAGTCGACGGAGTATCCGATCACGCTCGGGGGGAAGAAGGGAGTTGCTTAGATTGTGAGAATGAATAATTGTATAAAAGGAATCGTTGGTTGGATGATTGTTTTCTGAGATGGCCCGAATCGTTAGCTAGTGATAGTTTTCATCTGCAAAACGGAGCACCAGATGCCCTCAGCAATCTACAAACGATATAAACCAAAACTGACTTCGCACCGCCAAATCAGTGTTCAGTGTTATGTTTCCCAAGTAAAGCTGGTACCTTCCACAGAGACCTATAGGGAGTAAGTGAAAAAAAAAAAAAAAAAAAAAATGAAATGAAATGACTAGAGGAATCCGGTTTTTGGAGGAGGGCATCTCGTCTTATTCGCTATTTAATGGTCTCATCTCTCTTGACTGCATGTGTATTAAAACAAAAATGAAAAATGAAAATGAAAAATCTTTTTCAAATACAAGTCTCACATCTCCTCCACCGCAGCACCGCACCCCCTTTTTCTTTTCATTGACTTCCCTTTAACATGATGATGGTTTCACATTTTTCTTTCCTCTTTGGTCCTCAGTAGCAGGGTATTCATTGAAAGAAAGAAAGAAGAAAGAAAATGATGACCTGGTGGGAGACAAAACAAGGGTAGTAATTGCTGAACAGAATGTCTCGCCAGGCATGTTCTGCTGCCAAATTGAAAAGGGCGCCAGAAAAGTGGTGTGGTCGGAACATTTGAACAGAAATGAAAAAAGGAAAAAAACATTCGTTTTTCACAATAATTGGAGCCCATGGGGAAAACAAGTTGAATCACAAAGTGAAGTAATCCCATGCACATGGATTATACAAAAAAAAAAAAAACGAAAAAAAAAACGAAAAAAAAAAGGCAGAAAATAGGCTCCACAAACATAAATACAAGCCCTCCATCCTCAGGGACAATGATATTCGCTCTCCTTTTTTCATCATAAAGACCAGGTCTTGCGGGATATGGACATGATGCTGATTATCGTACGATTGGCATTGAGTAGTGGGCGAAGACAACAGCTCCTTGTTTGCGGATAGAGAAAAGAAGAGCGAAATTCAATGGCCTCATCTTCAACGAGCCGTACCAGGGGCCAACGTCTCTTCAATGACATCCTCTACGTCGGTGGGCGAAGCAGAGACATCGACAGTCACATCATCAACCTTCGGGGGGCCGGGCTCCTCCTGCTTGGCATCGACATTGACGGGCGCCACCTCAGGAGTCTAAGACTATGGCGTCAACACACACAACCACCTTTGGAACACGAGAATGTTGTCACACAGGTCATCAATCGGGTTGTTCCAAAAAAAAAAAAAAAAAAGAAAAGAATATGAACAAGCAGGTACCCCTAAACCTGAGTGTGCATGTCTTGGGCTTTGTGATTGATCTTTGGTGCGACGAAGTAGGGGATAAACTTACGAGACGGCCGGGCTGCTCGTCAACGGCCATCGCCGAAGCAGCGACCTCGCCAAGTTGACCAAGGTCGGCCAAGTTCATAGTACGGGGCATGGTGCGTATTTCTGGGTAGACTTCGAGTTCGCGACCGTCATGGCGAGTTATAGCTGCAAAGGGGGAGGAATGGGCAAGTGGAGGGATATATCTTAGCAAGTTTTCCCACGAACGAAACAGAGGTAGAACTGATAGAGAGGGGTTTTTGGAAGAGGTTATAAACAAAACAACATAATCTCCTGAAATAAGAATGACAGAAAAAGAAGAAGAAATTGATAAAAAAGGGGGGGGTGTTTGAAGATCTCATGTATCTCTCTTGAACATTTTCATCTGATTCTAACTGAGAGAATGTGTATATATGGGGAACAGAAAACTTACGACGCAGATTATGCATGTTCAGGTCCAATGTGGTCTGTGGGCTAAAAGGGAACCGCAATGAAGAAAAAGAGTCAAGATATTAGCCATCTGATCACAAAGCTTCACAAACAACTGAAATAAATGTCATGGGATGTGCAAAAAGGCCCCAAGTTGCCAGTAGTAAAAAAGAACAAGCAAAATATTGTGAATTTCACCTGCTTGGAGTTGGGGAAAGGGGCCAGAAATGAGTAGTTGAAGGGGGAGGGCAAATCTATATCTGTTTGCTCCTTTTGGGAGAAGAGGACTTACAACTGAGGAGACCCAATCTCCAGGCCATGGACAGTAACAGACTCATCATCACTATCCTCATAGCGACTAAAGCAGGAGAAACAGGTGCCCATTTTCTCACAAAGAGTGGGAATGAATCTGGATCTTTTTGGATTTAAAGAGAAATTAAAAGGGGTGGAGGATGTAGCTGGTGAGCAAAAGACCAGGGGAAATCTGTAAACTGTGTGCAGGATGGCAAACAACAACGAGAAGCGTGATGAAAGAGGGTGAGGAGAGAAGGGGAGGAGGAGAAGGAGAGATTGCCCATGTGGAGGAGAAAAGAAAGAGGCTGTTTGTGGGAAAACCACAACCAGCTACAACACAACACACAACACAACAGTGATATTCACTGTTTGTCTGATCACGCCATCTCAGGGAGGGAGATGGCTGCAGTCACCCAGCAACAGGAGGCCAGGCAGATGCAGGGAGAGGTGCAGAGAGTCTTCCTTTTTTTCTAATCTTCCCCTTTTTTGTCAGAATTAAAGATGTGATAGAAATGAATAATAGCTTTTATTCATGTCAACCCCCCCGAGTGATTCTCCAGATCTCCAGATCTTTCTCATATCCAGTTGACTGCCAGGTAATTAATGCACAGGCATTAAAAAGAGAGGGTCGGGGGTTTAGGGTATCGATATCTACCATCACATTGAAAGGAAGATAAAAGCACAAATAATCCTCCTATATCCATTCAGCTGAGGAAGAAGGAAGAAGAAATTAAGAACAACCGCAACAATGCTCATATGGAGAGAGAACGAAAAGAAAAGAAATGAAACGAAACGAAACGAAAAGGCGAAGAAAAGCCAGAGACAAAAGCAACTCAATATACAACCATCACTGGCTGGTCGCTCTTTATTGAACAACGGCGGAAAAGGTATTGTATGCAAGAATGTTCTTTCCTTTCTATGTACGAGCAAATCCGAGGTCTCTTGTTTGGATGTAAGTTGCTTACCAGGCTTTATCACCAACTCAAAGAGAGGAAGAAGAAAAAGAAAAAGAAAGATTAGAAGGCCAAATAGAAGATTTTTGCGTATACAATCATGGACACATATATAAGATTTCCCCAGTTGGGGGGTAGGTAAAAGAGGTAGGATCCATTACTGAAACACCGGAGAGAATACAACCTAGGAGGGAATCCGTTAGGGGAAACCGGACGATGATCGTTATGATGGAAAGAAAAGAATAAGAATATATATAAAAAACGAAAGAAAGAAAGAAAGAAAGAAAGAAAGAAAGAAAGAAAGAAAGAAAGAAAGAAAACAAGAAAAGAGGAACCGGGCCGAATGAGACGGAATACACACACGCACACGCGCGCGGAGGGGGAGGGGGAAGAAGAGAGAACTCTGGAGGAGAACGAGGGCGAAACAACGTTTCATCAAAAAACAATAATCAGGCTAGTCTTATTTCGACAAGCCGATCTTGTCAAGTATCCCACTCGAGGACGCAGCCTTATCCGCATCGAAGACTTGCAGCAGGCTCTTCCACACCTGTCCAGGCTCCTGGCTAGCATCGATCCCCCTCCAGATGCCGGTGGTCTTGTAGTATCCCACAACAGGTTCCGTCTGCGAGTGGTACGTCTTCAGCCTCTTCTTCAGCGCATCCGCGTTGTCATCTGACCGCTGGATCAATGGCTCGCCGGTGACATCATCCTTCATGGCCTCCTTTGGCGGGTTGAAGATCTTGTGATACGAGCGTCCTGAAGCGGGATGCACCAGGCGGCCAGTTATCCGTGCAACGAGGAGAGAGTCGTCAATCTGGAGCTCGACGGCATGTTGAAGCTTCTGGCCGCGGGAATTCAGCATGCTGTCTAACCTTTCAGCCTGGGCGACAGTGCGGGGGAATCCGTCCAGGATAAAGCTGGTGATTTACAACCATTCTCGAGTCAGAAAAATATGCACGTGTAAGAAATAAATGGACAGAGAAGGGAAATGGGAGGATCATAACCCCGTAAAAATGGGGCAGAATAGGAGGGGGCAGTTTTCTCTTTACCCGTTCTGGCACTCCTTGTTATTTTCCAATTCGTGCTTGATCATGTTAACCATAATCTCATCGCTGACCAATCCGCCTTGGTCCATGATCTTTTTCGCTTCCTTGCCCAACTCGGTCTTGCGAGCGACTTGTGATCGTAGCATGTCTCCGGTAGCCTACGGATAAATGGAAAGATAAAAAAACACACACACGATTCAGTCAGCCAAGGTTGTAGTTTTTGCTTTCATTTATTTTCATTGAACAAATGCACTCACCAAGTGACACACGCAGAACTTGTCCTTGATTTTGGGTGCTTGCGTTCCCTTGCCTGCAAAAAGGAAGATCATTAATATTCAGCCATTTTGATTGTGTAGTACGCATATGTTTATTTTCAATGTATATATATATATGGTGTATACGTAAAATGGGAGTGGGAACGGAGGAGAGAACACACCAGCGCCTGGAGGGCCCATCAAGATCATCCGCACAGAGTCTGTGATGGACTTTGGTTGTGAAGAGCCGCCTCCGTGAAGTAATCGCCCTTCCAATTGAACCACCCGCGACTCCAGCTCGCTGATGATGCTCTTAAGGCCATCGATTGTCTCGTCCTTGATAGGAGCCATTGTACAGAATGAAGTGGCGGGGATGCGAGGCGGGATGCAGATTGGGGGTGGTTGACGGAGAGGAGGAAACGGCCAGTCTGATCAAGATCCAGGGACAAGGTAGGGAACGAGAATATGAGCGGCTGTTCTGTTAGAGATGTGCGGTGTAAGTTTAGAAATAGTAGCAGTAGGTACCGTAGCAATTATTTTAAGAGCAGAGAAGGTTTTGTTTTTTTTTTTTTTTTTTTTTTTTTTTTTTTTTTTAGAGCGGTTGAAGTTTGGATGGGCCAAGGAAACACGAACAAACCGGGAGTTGGGATGGAATGAACCAAAGAACAACAAAAGCTTTCTCCCGCACGGCCGAGGTGCGCTTCAAACGACTTTTCCGCGCATGCCCTTTGCTAGCTCCTCTGCTTTGAGTTAGCCATGTCCAGCTAAACCACAGACATCTTTAGGCAAGGAACGCCAGTGTGCAAAGATGATCCCATAGGCCTACTGGCAGGCACCAAACTTGAACAGACAATGGGGAATCCAGTATTTCATTCAGCTGAAGCCAGGGAACAAGACTGTGCCTGGGTACTCAGTGCCAAATGATTTCGAAGTGTTTAAACATCGAGGCAAAAATATTTACAATTGAATACAGCTATACATGTGTTTCCTTTAATCACTCTCTCTATTCCGCTTAAATAGATTCGTCCTACTATTTCACTCTCTATTTTAATTATCGATGCTGGGATTGTTTGTTTGGATATCCCAAATGTGAGCGGGCAAGCCACGGCTTCAGCACCAGCCACAAGCTTCTGAGCCCATTAGTCAGCATCTCTTCCCAGCTTCAAAGAAATCCATGGATATGAGCTTCAAAAGAAGATCACGCTCAAATAAACCAGCCAATCACTATTGAATAGTTCCTGCTCTCCACGACTATTCCTTAACTCTTAAACTCCCTTCTCTAACCCAGCATGCCTGCAACCACCGCAGACACCCTGTCCATGGTGACACGTACTGTCTCCGTCGCCCCATTAGTCCTCCTCTCAGTCGCAGACCACTACGGACGTTCAGCAAAGGGGACGAGAAGACGGGTAGTCGGAGTTCTTCTGGGCCAAAATGATGGAAGGAATGTCAGAGTCTCGAACAGCTTTGCTGGTATGGTTTAATCGCCTTATCCTCTCCCTTTCATGTTTTCCCATCCGCTAAGCGCAAGATTCGATACCGCATACAGTGCCCTTCGAGGAAGACGACAAGGACCCTTCTGTCTGGTTTTTAGATCACAATTTCGTCGAGTCCATGAATGATATGTTTAAGAAGATTAATGCTCGTGAGAAGCTTATCGGATGGTATCACTCTGGTCCCAAGCTCAGAGCAGCAGATCTGGAGATCAACGAGCTTTTCAAACGATACACACCAAATCCTTTGCTAGTTATCATTGACGTGCAACCAAAGGAAGTTGGAGTCCCCACGGATGCCTACTTTGCTGTTGAGGAGATTAAAGATGTGAGTGCGCGTTGTTTACCTCCCATGATATTCATGGCGTTACCGGTGCTAATCCGGTCACAAAAGGACGGAACAACTACAGCCAAACTTTTGTCCACACCCTTCCATAATCGAAGCTGAGAGCGGAAGAGATCGGTGTTGAACATCTCTCCGGACATAAGAGATGTGCCGTGGCACCTGTCACCGCATCACATCTCACTACAGTCATACAGTCTCACTCGCTCAGAGATATCGGCCAATATTTACAAAAGGTGCTAGATGGCGACCTACCTGTCAAGCATGCTATTCTCGGAAACCTTCAGGACGTTTTCAATCTTCTCCCCAACCTTTCCACCCCCAAGACAAACAACTCACAAGTAAACGGAATGGAACCATCACAGATAGAAAACACAGAACTTGCACGTGCCATGAGCATCAAGACCAACGACCAGCTTATGGCTATTTATCTTAGTAGTCTGATTAGAGCCATCACTGCCTTCCACGACCTTATCGAGAACAAGATCCAAAACCGCCAACAGCAGGAAGAACAAGAAGCAAAGAAGGAAGATGAGAAAAATGGCACTACACTGAATGGCAATGGCAATAATAACAATAATTCTCAAAATTTCAAGGCTCCGGCCAACAACAACGATTCCAAGCAAGAGCAAGAGGACACGAAGGAGAAGGGGAAGAAGGGATGATTTTGATTTTGCTTTCTTCCGTTCTATCGCTGCTCGATCCTTCTCTATTCTCTATTTTCCTTGAAACCTATCCCGCCCTACTTTGTGTTCCCTACTCCCTTTCACGCTTTCTACCTTATGGTTGGTTAGCTTAGCTCTTTCCCACCCATTTATCCTTGACGACTCTGTCAAGCAGCATTATATCGAATTTCATGTAAAATCAACCGCCATGAAACAAGTTAGAGTTCGTACTCCTTCCTCTCCCCTTACAATACCTAATGTCTCCTTTTGCGGTGGATTCAGGTTAGGAGCGAAGTCGACCCTATGTAAAGACGCCATCTCCGGCACCAAGGGTCTTTTGACATATAGAGAGCTTGGCGCAGTTATTTAAGGACGGTTTCTAGTTTCTATTTCTATGGGAAACTCTTGGAAGACAAGCTGTTTCCAGGCGCTCATAAGACGTCTCGCTCTTCATGGGTACAATGATCTATATACGAGAGGGGTGAGAGAGCACCGGATTAGCAATTCCTTGTAGCTTAACTGGTGGTTGCCGGTTTGCTGCAGGTTTACCTAACCATCCCTCCTTACATTGGAATATCCGATGTAAAAAGCAAATTTCAATATTGCGAAGTAACTAAATACACGTCGATAATACTCTTCGACTCTTTTCTTTCTCTCCTCCTCTTTCCCCAAACTCTGTCTATGCCATTTATACCACCCTCTTCTTTCTTTCGCCCAAATGAAAAATAGCCCCAAACACCGTATAAACTCCCAAACACCCATGGGTATATCATCATGAACACAAACCAAAACTCCTTTTAAAGTTACCTTACAAAAGGGGGGAGGGGGGAACAGTCTGAGCCTAGGTTAGTGCAAATCTCCCAGCCATCTCCACCTCCTCTTGTCCTTCCCCTTTACCATCCCTCTCGTCAACAACAACCGTCTCCACTCCACCACCAAACAATGCCGGGCAAAGGCTCCCCAACACACAGGCGAGAAGGTGCTTGCACACGGGTGTTTCGTGGTGGCTATTCTTCATCGAGTCTCTGGTTAATGTGCCGCCAAATGGGAAAGGGGTTGTAGGTGTATGTGTAGATGCAGATGTAGATGTAGATGAAGAATTATTTCCCCTGTGCAAGTCGCCGTCGTTGTAAGTATAACGCGGAAGAGGGGCGGAAAGCGGGTTACTTTCTTCCCCTCTGCATCTGCATCTGCCTTCCTCTTCTTCTCCAGGACCGCTGCTTTCCTCTTCTGCCGTTGCGGTCTCAGGAGAACCCAGGTGTCGAAATGCCGCCAGGGCAAAAGCGGGACAGGAGCAGTGCCAGGCATTTAGGCAGACGAGGTGGGTTTGGGGGGGATGGTTGGAACTGGCATCTGTATCAGCATTTGGCGAAGAGTGGACAAAGTATATTCCCAGGTCTATATTTTCTCCTCTATATTGCGGTCGCTCTTCTGCTGCTGGTGGTAATGATGACAATGATGATCCGTGTTGCTCACGATGATACACATCGTACCTCTTTATCCCCTTCCGGTCCAGGATATCCAGAGCCAAGAGAAGTTCATTCGGGAAGAGGCAGTGTAGAGTTAGGAGGAGGGGTTTTACTTTAAAGAGGATGGGAGCCGGAAGTTGGGTGAGTGGGTTGTTGCTATTTGTTCCTGCAGATGGAAGGTTATGAGGTTGAAATTGGGTATCGTTATTATTCTGGTCTGGAGGAGCTGTTCCGCCTGGTGGTGGGTGGAATTTGGATAGCTGATTAACTATTGAGGTGATGAATTGAGGAGTGTTGGGGAGGCGCCCTTCCATTGCTATGTTTTCCTGAGGCTTTCAAAATGAAATGAAAAAATTGTTGTACGTGGCTCATGTTTTCATTTTTTGATGTCGGATTATTATATAGTTTATAACCGTCTTTCTTGGTAAATCTGAAATCCCACTGTCCCCTAAAATTTATACACCTATATTTGTTCACTAAAAGCCAGCTGGACGAACACAGGAAAGGAATTTGTTAACTACTTGACACGGGAAAGCTACAACTCAAAGTAGCCATTTTCCATATATCACTTGTCATCTACTTTGTCGAATAGTTGCGTAAATCCTTGCATGATAGAGGCAAGCTCATTTTATCTTAAACGCTCCATGATAGAGATATGCTCTGTCCAACGGGCTAGGAAAGAAAAAAAGGAACAAAGGAAGATATTAGTTAATTAATTAATTAATGGAAAATAATAGTATTGAATATCAAAGGGGAGGGATGAAGAGGAAATGAGGCGAAATAGCCCCCAATTGTCCTCCATCTTCCAAGCTCCTGCATGGTCGTCCATCGGTCGTCGCATTTTCGCGCTGGTGAAAACGACTTGGGCGCTTCAGCTGGTGCAGGAGCTTAGCAGAGCCGAAGGCCACTTGAGCTTGAAAATCATCCTTGGCCACCAGGACATCAAGTCCCAGTGCAATCCGAATCTTCATCGTCTAATACCAGAGGGGGATCACGCTTAGTCATCTCCCAGTCCTCTTCCCCGCCGATACCGCAATCCGCCATTTTTTTAATTTTTTTCTTTTTGAAAAACAGTCATTTGTTCAATAATCAACATGAACATGCTGTCCGGTTTTTCCACAAAAATCCCCTTTCGTTTGGTCGGTAGTTTGGTAGACTAACGTATTCGTCTTTTGTATATCGTCGAAGAATTTGGTTTCTCTGGGTTCTCACAATCTAACAATGGAGGAGCTACCAGATCCCACCACTGACCTGGATTGGTCTGGTTACGTCGGGTCAATCCAATCGCATTTCGCGGAGAATGCAAGAAAATATCCAGACCGAATATGTGTGGTAGAAACGAAGTCGTCTGAATCTCCGGAGAGGAGATTCACATACAGACAGATCTACGAGGCATCAAACACTCTCGCACATTACCTTCATGATGCGGGAGTTACCAATGGGGATGTTGTGATGGTCTGGGCACACCGGTCTGTTGACTTAGTTGTCAGCATTATGGGGACTTTGGTATGTTCGATTCCTTGTGTACCATGAGCTTTTTACTTTTGACTGCTCCGATCCAGTCCATTGGTATACTAAATTAAACACCTCGCTTGCTGAAGATGTCTGCTGCAACTATGAGCATCCTCGATCCTGCCTACCCACCAGCCAGGCAACAAATATATCTAGAAGTCTCTCAGCCTTGCGCATTGGTTAATATTGCAAGAGCAACGGACGAGGCTGGCCCTCTGGCGCCAACGGTACGAAAATATATCGATGAGGAGCTTAAGCTGAAGGCTGAAGTCCCGTCATTGCGTATTCATAGCAATGGGTTCTTGTCCGGGGGTGAGATTGAAGGCCAGGACATTTTTGGCCACGTCAGATCGAAGGCGTCTTCTTCTCCAGATTCGCTCGTAGGTCCTGACAGTAATCCCACTCTCTCGTTCACCTCTGGCAGTGAAGGAAGACCTAAGGGTGTTCTGGGCCGTCATTACAGTTTAGCCAAATACTTTGGCTGGATGGCTGAGAGGTTTGAGCTTACTTCAGAGAGTCGATTTACTCTCCTGTCTGGAATTGCGCATGATCCCGTCCAAAGAGATATTTTTACTCCTCTCTTTCTTGGCGCGCAATTGTTGGTTCCCTCGAAGGAGGATATCCAACATGAGAAGCTTGCAGAATGGATGGCTGAACACAAGCCTACAGTTACTCATTTAACACCGGCAATGGGTCAGATTCTCGTTGGAGGCGCGTCGGCAAAATTTCCATCCTTAGACAGAGCCTTTTTCGTTGGCGACGTTTTGACTACGAGAGACTGTCGGAGTTTGAGGGATCTTGCCGTCAACGTCAACATAGTCAACATGTATGGGACCACAGAGACGCAGCGCGCAGTAAGTTACTATGAAATACCGAGCCGGGTGAAGGACCCTAATTACTTGGACAAACTCAAGGATACCGTACCAGCTGGCAAGGGTATGAAGGATGTTCAACTCCTGGTTGTCAATCGTGATGATCGAGCCAAGCTATGTAAGATTGGAGAAGTAGGAGAGATCTATGTCCGCGCCGCCGGCCTTGCTGAGGGTTACAAAGGGGATCAAGCTTTGAACGACCAAAAATTCCTTATGAACTGGTTCGTGGACAATGAGAAATGGGTCGAAGCTGACAAGAAGGACGACAAAAACGAGCCGTGGAGGAAGTACTACCTTGGCCCAAGGGATAGACTTTACCGGACTGGTGACCTCGGTAAATACCTAGAAACGGGGGATGTGGAGTGCACCGGTCGTGCTGATGACCAGGTCAAGATCCGCGGTTTCCGAATCGAGCTTAATGATATCGACAATAATTTGCGCCAACACCCGTTGATTAGAGACTGCAAAACTCTTGTCCGGAGAGATCGAGACGAGGAGCCCACACTTGCGAGTTACATTGTCCCTGAACTAAAACAGTGGCCACAATGGTTGAAAGATCGAGGCATCGAGGATATTGAGGACGAAGGAACTGATATTGGCCCTGTGGTTATCTATACGAAACGGTTCAGACGAATGCAAACGGAGGTACGGGATCATTTGAAAGATCGCTTACCTGGCTACGCTGTTCCGACGATTTTCATAGTCCTTAATAAGCTGCCACTTAATCCTAATGGGAAAGTCGACAAGCAGAAACTCCCGTTCCCTGACATTGCAGAACAGTCTGTGCCAGCTTCTTCAGAAGACTTGAGGAGATGGGAGTCAATGTCTGAGACGGAACGGGCTGTTGCAACCAAGTGGGCCAATCTCATTCGCGGCGTGAACGCAAAAACTATTACCCTACAGAATGACTTCTTCGATCTTGGAGGCCACAGCATATTGGCTCAGCAGATGCTACTGACTGTCCGCAAAGAAATGGGAGCGAATATCTCAATAAATACACTCTACGAGTACCCAAGCCTAGGTGGATTTAGTGCTCAAGTTGACAAACAACTTAACATAAAGAACAGCATGGTCAAAGCTGGTGCCGCTGCGGAGGAGGAGAAAGATTCCATCTATTCCAAGTCTCTGGAAGACCTCCTCAAGCAGCTGCCAGCTACTTATCAAACAGCGGACGCAGATGCTATCCGCAAATCCCATCAGCCTACAGTCTTTCTTACTGGTGCAACTGGCTTTTTAGGCACTTACATTATCAAGGACATACTGGAGAGAACCAGCCGTATTATAAAGCTGATTGTCCACGTGAGGAGTGTCAAGGACTCCCGAGCTGCACTTGATCGGCTACGAAGATCCTTACAGGGCTATGGCTTATGGCAAGCGGAGTGGGCGGGCCGATTAAGCTTCGTTGTCGGAGATTTATCGAAACCACAACTTGGCATTGACCAGCAAAATTGGCAGGCCTTGGCCAAGGAAGTCGATCTGGTTATTCACAATGGCGCGGCGGTCCACTGGGTTAGACCGTACAATGATCTGGTGGCGTCAAATGTCCTTTCGACGCTCGACGCGATGAGGCTTTGCAATGAAGGGAAACCAAAAATGTTCACATTTGTTAGCTCCACAAGTGTACTCGACACAGGTCACTATGTTAAACTCTCAGATCAGCACCTTAGTACAGGTCGAGATGCAATTTCAGAAGATGATGACATGGAGGGCAGTCGAACTGGTCTGGGAACTGGCTACGGGCAAACAAAATGGGTATCTGAACAACTCGTCCGTGCAGCGGGAAAGAGGGGCCTCCTAGGCTCTGTAGTTCGACCAGGGTACATTCTCGGCGACGTAGAGACAGGCGTTTGTAATACTGATGACTTCTTGATCCGTATGTTGAAGGGCTGCATTCAATTATCTAGTCGGCCACGTATCATCAACACCGTCAACTCTGTCCCGGTAAAGCATGTTGCTCGTGTGGTTGTGGCTGCCGCTCTCAATCCCATCCCAGGTGGCGTGCATGTCGTGCATGTCACTGGTCACCCACGACTACGTATGAATGAATACCTCTCCCTTCTCGAATACTATGGCTACAAAGTTCCCGAGGTCGATTATGACATTTGGAAGGACGAGCTAGAAAAATACATCTCAGCCGGCGGCGTAGAGAAGGATCATGAACAACACGCCCTAATGCCGCTCTACCATTTCTGTGTCAACGATCTCCCTGCTACAACTCGAGCTCCAGAACTTGATGACAGAAATGCTGTCAAAATTCTGAAAGCAGATGCTGAAAATTGGACTGATGTAGATGAAAGTGCTGGGTATGGTATCACTAGGGAAGATGTTGGCAGGTACTTGAGCTACTTATCAGAGATCGGGTTTGTGAGCCGGCCGTCATCTAAAGGCCGGCCGTTGCCTAAAGTCAGTGTCAGTCCAACGCAGCTGGAAGCGTTGGGAGCAGTAGGAGGCCGTGGTGGTATACCCAAATGAAACGGATGAATGGATTCGACCACATCTGCTACGCGCGGGCGGTAAACTATTCTTATGACATCTGAATGTCCTAGATATTGACTCAATATTTTCAGCTACGATCAAACGGAAGAGTTTTGAATTATTACCTCCTTCTCAACAATTTTGCCGAACATATTCCCTTTGCAAAGTTTAGATAGAACGGTAAAAATATCACTTTGTATTTGATTCCTCACGGAGCAAGCAATTCATTCTCAAATTCAAACCTGGTTCATGTAGCTAGCATAGTGACTTATCTCATCCTTTTAGTAAACAAACTCCCTGGATTCCTATCATAACTGATCTCCACACAGTCAGATATGCATGTATCAATTCTCCCCATTCCATTCGCCATTCGCTCCCTTCAAGCCAAGCTCCAAAAACAAAGACGAAAATAAACTCCTAAATCTCCTCCATATCTTCATCCTCCAACCCCAAATCTAACGGCGGGAAATCGCCCACCTCAACTCTCTCCGGCTTCACAAACACGCCTCTCTTCTCCAAACAACTGAAATATCGGCGTCCTCCCACGGACCCGTCATTTTTTCCAGTAGGCTCATCAAGTTCGATACCGACCCAGATTGGTGCCATTGGCTCTGTGGTAGTTTGGACATCATCATCACCTTCCTTTCCTCTTTCCTCTTCTTCTCCTTTTTCGCCTTTGACTTCGGTTTCTGCAGTTTCTGATGACGATGATTTGACTCGCGGAGAAGGAATGGTAGGTACAGGTCCGATGAAACGTATGGTCCCGCGGCGGATATGGGGCGGGTCGGAGGGAAGGATAATGGCGCGCTTGGAGAGCTCGATACCTAGTGTGTTTCGCGTTGGTATAAATGGCAGGAGAGGGGGGGGGGGAAGGAGAGGGAATGATAAGTGAAAGTCTCGTTAATCACATTTTTCATTTACGTACCTCTCTGTTTAATCTCTTGTTGGTCCATCTCCACTTGCTGCTTAAGGGTTTGTTCAGGGGAGGGAGTTGTTGGATCGAAACGACCCAGCTTTTGATTTTTTTTCCATGATAGGACGCTGTTCGGGAGGCTTTCGTAGGTTGAGGTCGGGAGTACGTATTTTTCTACTGTGGAGATATCGGTGAAATTTGGGCGCGCTGATGGAGGCCGGGTATCGTGGACCTAGTCTTTGGGTTAGACTAGAGTATATGAGTATATAATACAAATAGGTTATTCAAAATGGAAGGAAACAAGGAACGAGGGTAATTTGGGAAGTGCCAAAATCATAGTAATCATTTGGAGCGGGTGCAAATATTTTTAAACATGAATCTCCCATGGACGGCTTTAGGCAAAGAAGGGGATTCCAACATCACGGTGCTGAATATCCTGTCATTTGTCGGGATGTCTCCAGATCCATCCCAAAACCATGAACAGGGTCATTATGCCACCCAGCAAGACCCAACAACTCACGTGGATGTGAGCAACAAACGTGGAAGTAAAAAGTAAATAATGGCACAGAAATAGATGCCAGATAGACATTGATTCCGTCGTTGCATACCTCAAACTCGCATCCTCTTGCCAGACCCCATTCACCAACTAATTGATCGTCTCCCTCGACCCATTGGTCTTCTCTGCCAGGAGACTTCAACTTAAGTTTCTGGTTGGATGGTGGAATCCCAGTCATAGTCTCCAGTTTAGCTTTTAACTGTGACACGGTCCACGTCGGGGTTATGCGACGCTCTGAGGCGTATGACACCGTATCTCCTGTTGCTGGTCCCCCGCTGCCCGGTGCAACTGTAATGAGAGCAGCGATGTCCATAGGAGTGGGTTGAAAGGCCATGTTGAGGGGTATTTAAACCAGAATTAGAACTTCTATTGAATGTTTCTTTCGATGTTTAAAATCTGAAAAGTATAGGGAGAAGCCTATACTATTGACTTTTTGAGGCTTTAAAGACTCCCTGGGTATTCTTTTTCCTGCTTTAGTAGTTAGAATTTACCCCGCATTGAACGATATTAGTACACGTTCGTAAGGAAAGGCGGCTACCTATTCAAAGCAAAAAAGAAAATATTTACAAATATCTTTCACGTCGTAAGTATGCCTAAAGCGAGGATATAACATCCTACAAGCAGGCGATAGGAAGATGAAGATGAGTACTGGAAAGGGAGCAGGAGTATCAGGTGACATGGCACCGGCGCCAGCCAAGACATCGACCTGGGAGGCATAGTTGCGTTTTGATGTATATATATATATATATATATATATAAATTTAACGTCCCAGAGAAGGCGCGGGCAGCGCCCGCGCTTCAGAGGCCTCCCGAAGGGCATGGGGACGTGCTACGCTGGAGAGATTTCTATGTACACAAGGAGAGAAAACAGGATCCAGATGGCAACTCTTGAGAAGACTCAGCTCAAATTGGCTGCTCATCCACTTCTGGCCCGACGTAGTTGCGTTTTGATCATTTATGCTACCGTAGATAAAATGGAACAATGGAAGAATAGAAGAATGGAGAATCCTGGCTATTGCTCAATTCCTATGGTTAGGGATGGAATATTTAAAAGGTGCCATTGCTAGAGCTGCAGAGTATAATGTCGAATAAAAACAAACCGCTGAGACACGAAGGGTGGACCATTTTCACAAATATGGCATTTGCACTCATTATTTTCAAAATTACCCAATAGTCCAAAATGCGTTAACAGGTTTCACATACGTGCGATTTCGGATATATACTAGTTTACACAGAATGCGAAGGAACCCTCCATGGCTGGAAAATAAATACTAGTATACTTAACCAACACACACACACACACACACACACACACACACACACACACACACACACACACAACTGAAACACCTTGGACCTGTCTTATTTCTTCATCTGAACTCTTTCTACCGTTATCGACAAAGCTGCTGCCGACTTTATGCGCCTTAACTTCAGGATACCTAGGTATACCGTATCATGGGGAATTGCCTTCCACGGTTTAGCGCTATCCTGATCGGGTTTAGCGCAACATCGCCGCTTTCTGGACTATATAAATCCCCTCCCCCCGCCGCTCAAACATCCTCTCTCCATCGTCTCTATTTTCCCTTTCTTTCCTCATAATTCTCTTGTCTCGTGTGTTCCGTGCCCATCCCCTCTTTCCCCTTGGGCCCCACTGCTAGTGTCACCTGGCCCGGCTGTGCCGCAGCTGAAACTGTTCTCGACATGGTGACCATGCCCACTTTCCCTTCTTCCCAGATGCAATTTCGCCTCATACTACCGTCAAGTTACCCTAAAACCATGCACAGACTGAGGCCCGCTACTGGGATATCTATTCTACCCGGGACTGTGGCTGGCTGAGGTTTCCTGTTCACTTTGTTGATCTCATTTTCTTGTCGCATACACGACGAGCTATTGCTCTACATCCTATATTTGATGTTTTGGGGTTCTGCACACCTATCCTATCAACGCTGCCAATCCCATCCTGTCTGTGCCTTGGTGCTTGTTGTCCTTAATCTCTCCCTTTCGCAATCGGTCGGCAAACCCGATGTTTCTCACCTGTGGTGCACGCCGGTGATGGGCGGCCTCCACTCGTTGAGATGGTACGCCAATGGAAAAAAAATGAACAAAAAAGCCTCCGCATGGCAGAAACGGTATCTGCCTTGCTGTGCCGCGGAACCATTACGCGTCAGGCCCTGACCAGAGCGCACGGCCTGGAAGGTCTGGTTAGTTGCAAGGGTGACATATCCAGACGAAAAAAAAAAAATTCTCTCCGACGATTCAAGCCTCACGGCGTGGCCGATGCGTGACGTGGACATGATCCAAACTGCTCCAGTGCAGGTGAATTCTCGGTCACGCTACGTTCCCTCTTGACTAGTAGCAAGATACTGAGTCGACAAAGATGGATGTCCACTGGAAAAGACACTTCAGCCTCAGCCTCCTGGGGGCTCAAATCGACCAGGAGAGAAAGGGGCGATGCGACAGTGTGATGCGACGTCCGAGTTTCCCCATTTTCACGATCCGCACTTCGATGAATTAACGGACTGATTCGCTATTGGAAATTCGCGTTCATGCTATAAAACCGTGCATTGGAGCGGCTATGGTCGCATGACAATCACCTAGCACCCCTTCAGTCAGTGCTACAGTTTGGAAATAAAAAGCGAGAGGGGCTACGATCTTCCCTTGCTTTCTGCGTGGACGGCGGCTGGCGTTGCAAGGTGATAGGTACACTCATTTTCCTGCCTTGTTTTACCAGGATTTGGCCGACCTCATCTCCATGGTGCAGGCGCCAACGTTCCTGCACCATGGTGATTCTTCCTGCAGGGAAAATGTGATGGAAGCGAGCAGGTAGAATGGCACCAGCAGGATTTCTCTCATTCGCCCGTGTTGAGATCGTCGTAGACATAAAAGGTGCCAAATTCCCGACCAAAATTGCCGCTACAAAAAAAATACAAGAGCACTACGAGCACAGCAAGCGCACCCCATATCCCATCATTGCAAGCAGCAATTCCAACTCTCCACTGACAATGACGCCCTCTCTGCCGGAACACGCTGCGGCACGCGAGATTCCAGGTAGGTACAACGGGCCCTGAGTTGTCGGTCCAAAATCTGATCAGTATTTGAACAAGAATCCTTGGCAGCGAGCTTCTATGATCCCCAGAGGTCGCCTAGATCAAGTCCCCCGACCATGGACCAACTTCTGTCACAATTTGTCCGCCCGCGCCTTTCTCACTCAGCTGATGATGAACCTGGATCATCACCGGACAACCCGATTGATCTGGATGATAGAACGGATGAAAAACATGACACGGAACCTCTCAGTGAAGATCGAGAAGCATCACACCTCGGAGGCGACACCGAGCGTGAGTGCGATAGTGAAACTGATGATGGAAGGAACAGCGAGGCAACGTCAATTCAGGACTTGGAAGGGGAGTCGCAGACGCAGCCACAGTCGGGGTCACGCCCTGCAGAACCCACCCAGCCAGAACCAGAGCCAGAGCCAGAGCCAGAGCCAAAGGCGGCCAATGCATGCGAACGTGAGTTTCCCTGATACTGTGGGCTGCAGAGGGCATATATTAATGAATAAAGGAGGCCTCGACTGCGTTGGCAGCGGCAAGGAGAATGGTGG